AAGATGCTGTGAGGTTTAGGGTTTAAGATGCTGTGAGGTTTAGGGTTGAAGGAAAAATCCTATGCTGAAGGAGTCGATGACTCTTTTTTGGCATGAGCTACTATGAGCACGACTATGCGGGCAGGACTCGATTACCACAATGCACCGCAATAATATGCTTCATACAATACACGGTCATATACCAAAACAAACTGTTATATACTAAGAAAACTATACGTACTACCCTGAAACAACAGACATATTCTCAGACTATGACGTACCATCTTTGTATGTGTTACTATAAAGACTACTCTGCAGGTTGGCGGATTTGCCGTTCATTGCATAGCAAGCTCAAAACCCCGAAAGCCCAAACCTGGAAACGGTTTACGATTACGTAGGGTCTAGGGTTTAGGGGATTAGGGTTTAGGGTTTAGGGTTTAGGGTTTAGGGTCTAGGGTTTAGGGTTTAGGGTTTAGGGGATTACCGTAGCTTTCAAGGAAGCTTCCTCAGAGCTACGGTATTTTGGGTTGAATTAGGATCTACCTGAATGGGGCTTGGAGTTTCATAAAATTGTACTATGCTCCATCCGGCGGTTGAGGGGAAACCTCTAACCATGAACAAGCGCAGGCTATGACCCCTTAAAAACTATGTATAAAGGGTAGTTCTCTAAATTAGGGTCCGTTTCGGGGTCCTTTTTGATAAGGGTGCCGTACTATACTCTGGACCGAGGAAAGGACCCTAATTTAGAAAACTACCCATAGGCCCCATAGTAGTTCCTGTTGGGGATTGCCCTATAGAATTCTAAATATGAACCCCCAAAAAAGAACTACTCTGGGGCCTATGGGTACCCATAACATGGCCCTCAAAAACTAAAACTAAAACCCGGAACCAAAGGCAAGCCATGCCCACAGCCTTATTTAAAAGCCTAGACTTCATCTCATAGTTTGAACTGTAGAAGGCCTGAAGTGCTGGTGACCTTCAGACCGCAAGTGAACAAACATGCAGGCAGGGACTCAGTAAGCTACCCTCACCCCTACATCCGAAAGCCTAAACCCTGAAATCAAGCCCTCAACCTCAAAACACAAACAATCCTAATACAGGATTTCGGGATATTTCGGGGCCCCTTATACTATAATTATAACAAGGAGCCCCCCAAAATAGTCCCAGTACTTATTTCGGCCCCTATATTAGGCTATTAGGCTGTTAGTATACTATAATTATAATCAGGACCCC